GAGAGCAATTTAATGCGTTGGTAGAAACAACGCATTTAAACTAGGAAAGAATAGATATAATATAACCCATGTACTTTAATATTACAATCAATATTAAAATGAGTCTTTACTAATAAGAGATACCGAGTAACATCCATTCGAAGAAAGTCGGAAGTTAAGAAGCATACAACAGTAGTGTAGTTGCGTTTTCTTTCAGAGAATAAGTTCATGGTCATGTAAATGTAAATAATCGAGTGATAGCTTTCTAGCAATTTTTTTTATTTCATTTTATTTTCCACATAATAAAAAAAAATTACAAGAAAACTATCTCAAACGTTAAGGGTCTCATGCATTCGAAATTTAAAGTATCGGATCTTGTTTATTCAGAAGAAGAATTTTTCACTATTTGAAAGCTAAAGTAAAATTTTACATTTTGCCAGATTAAATATTGAACTAGAAAAAACGAAGTGCATATCATACACTATTTTTCTGTATAAGCACTATTCACGTAAATATATAGTATATACAATGAATCAAGTATCTAATATAGAAGTTTCTTTTGTGTTACTCCAAATATGTTTGGTAAGGCACTTTGATATTTAGAAAGTATATAAATATATCATTTCGATGGCACAAATCAATAAGAAATCAAAATATTTCTATCAAAGGGAAGTTAATAAAAACACGACTGAACAATTTTTTAATATTTTTATTCATATCATGAATTATTCTTATGTTTACTATTATTTTCGTAGCGACCTTTTTTGATCCAGATTTAACAGATTCATATTACAGCTTGTTATGAATATATTTTTTTCTTCAAATAATTTGAATTAAATTTTAATCGATGGGTAATTTTATTGTTAAAATGATATAGTTTAATTATTTTAACAAGAATATAGATCTAACTAAGAAAGAGTGAGAGAAAATATGTGAATCTTCAGTAATTCTTGTGATCAAAATAATATTTTTGATTTTGAAAAACATATTTTTGGACTTACTTGACTTGGTTATTCTTGAGAAGATTAGCGCATGAAAAATAAATGTAAGCAGAGCATCGCGAAAATAAAAAACTGGAGCCCTATGTGTATTATAGAATATTTAATTAAGAGTCTATTTTATAAACTTAGATGCTTGGTAATAAATAAAATGATATGTATCGATTAGATAAGAATCAATAGGAATTACTGAATAGTTTTGAGTGTTACTCTTTGTGTTGTAGTAACAACGAAACACAGAACAGAGAAGTTCGATGCTACTGGTTAGCACTATCATCAACACAATAGGAGAAATAGAAAGTTTCGTGAAAAGCTTTCATTTTATTCAAGTTAAAACACGTTATTCCTTGAAAAGCATAACGGTAAACGAGTTTAAACGATACATCTTTAGTTGCTCCTGGTTGATATATAAACATACATTAAACGCATCAGATGACTACAATTTGCCTATTAAATGCGTTTAAACCTCTTGATACAAGAATAAATCCGTTGTAACGCGATCAGTCATTTGATTCATCATATCAATGAGTTATAATGTGTTCTTTCATTTTTCTGCTTAAAAACGTCGAAAAATTGTTTTAATGT